AGAGGACAGGAAAGTTTCCAATTTAAGGTTTATCAAAATTTAATGTGTTTTCCCTAACAAAGATGCTGCCTCACCCCATCTCTAGTTTCTATTGTTAAAAAAGAAGTTTTTGTATTGGAAACCTAGGAGGCTAGCAATTAAACTCTAATTCCTCTCACCCTTCCCTTCTTCAAATATGACAACCACCTAAACAAAACTCACAAGTTCCAAATTATCCATTAAACCAAAAAGACAAAAAGACCCAAGAGTTAAAAGAAAGGGGTAAAGTTATTCATTATTGGCATAATATAAACACCCTTACTTAAAAGCTTCTAGTAATGTTTCTTCACCAATGGCGAATGGATTTCTAGGAATGTGCTCATTTTAACAAAATTCCCCTATAAGTCGGATGTCTCAAAGAGTCAGTGGCAAACTTTGACCTACGATTAACTGGCATTAAACAAGATCTATTTCAAATTAGTTTTTGTTTAAACAGTAACATTGTTCCTCATGATTTTCATCTCTAGATACAGTAGTGGACTTAAGGTAGTTGAAAGCACTGTGTGCATAATAATGCAGTAGCCAATGGTTTCATGTTCTTAATGTATCAATACTTAATCTCTGGAATACAATCCACATAATTTGCCACCACTGATATATGTGTTTTAAAGTATATGAAGAAGTGAATATGCCATAAAAGTCTGTGCATTCATAGACTTTTAGAATTTTAGAACAAAATTAACTACTTCTATCATTAACCAGAAAAGAAATTGCTTAAAAATATGCTCTGAAATAAAATCAAAGAAACTAATCTAGGTCACAGGACTAGATCATGAAACAATTTCATCAGAGGTCCAAAGTTTAACTTCCTTTACTACTGTGAAACTACAAAGATCAAATTCAATTGAAAACTTTTTTCTCTGCAGATAAAAGAAAGAAAGAAAGAAAGAAAGAAAGAAAGAAAGAAAGAAAGAAAGAAAGAAAGAAAGAGAGAGAGAGAAAGAAGGAAGGAAGGAAGAAAAAAGGCAGGGTTGTACTTAAGAAACAGGTGACCAGTTGCACCAAGGACTAGGTAGAACTAAAGACTGTCCTCGAAGCAGGAATGTACTGACTGCTATGTATTATGTGAATACTAAGTAAGAATAAGATTCCAGTAAGAAATTCCCTAATTCTCTCAAGAAAAAGAAAACCTCCCATATTTTAAAGAGGTTTTGTTGTTGTTGTTGTTGTTGTTGTAATCTTTAATGGAATTTGCAAGTAAGAAAAAAAAAGTACTAAAGCCCAAATCAAAGCTGAAGACAGTCACTGCCAGAGAGAACCTTCCTTAAGTCATCCGGGTGTTGATGCTGGCTTTGGCTGAGCTCCCCTTAGCATGTACTAGACAAAAAAGGAGAAAGCTAGAAAGGATCCATACTCATCCTTTTGCCATGGACTTTGTCAGAAGACAATGAATGCGAGATCATTCCACACTAATATTACATCCTACAGAAATGTTAAATATACTCTTGCACTGTACTAGTTTCTAAATGATGTTATGAATATAGTTTTACAAAGAGTTACTAATCAAGACAAGAGACAGTGAAAAGTACACTTTACAATTCCTTATTGAAATGGAAAATCCATTTCACTCACAAAGCTTAGATAAAATAAAAAAAAGCAATGTGCAGAGCAAATTCCTTTTTAAATTTCCTTACTTCGAATTTTCATACTTTTCAAATTTAAGCCTAACAGTATGGAATCCTGCCTCCTCCGGAGATGATATTTATGCTGTTTTTAATCACACCCAAAGTTCTAGGAATAACCTCTTCTAGTTCCTTAATTTCTAATATTTGAAGTCTTGGGCTTAACCAGCAAAAATCTTGCTATTTTATAACAAATGTTGTTTAAGCAAAGCCATTTAAGAAAGCCATTTCACGTAATGCTTAACATGAGGCTATTAAGAAACTAAGAATACTATTCTTTGAGAAATTAATAACTTTAAATTACAACTTACTTAGAAATGAGAACAATAATCTTAGAGGACACATAGTGGTATCCTTTAGAAATTACTGAAGCAGAGCATATCTTTAAAAAAAATAAGTGTAGTATTCAGAACTTTTATTATTAATGATCAGAAAATATGCTAAACCCATTAATATAAATTATTCCTTTTTTTTTTTTTTGGCTAAACATTTAAAGTAGGAAAGTACCTGCACTTGTCAAGAGGGAAAAATTTTATTACTACAAAAATGTCAACTACATTCTGGGGCATATGATGTTTATTCAACACAGCTAATCTATATTACTGAATACACTCTAAACTTCGAATTATTTTCTTAAATTTGATATAAACGTTGAGAAAATATATAACATGCAGATCAGACTAATATTAAAGATCTCCCCAGTCTTCTAAAAGAATCACAATACTTTGAGGATGTATCGACTTCCTCAACCTATTAAATCTTAAATTATTTTTGAAAATAACAGTTACATTCTCATTTATGCCCCCAACTAATCAAAACAAAACACAATGATGCAGATGTTCTCATTATTCCCTGACTCAGGGGATTTGAACTAAATGGCACCTACACCAGTAAACCGTGTATTATATAGTTTTTTTGCATATTACAGACAGTGCCTGACTCGCTAAATTACAGCCCCCAAAACCTTTCCTCCACCTTTCACATATGGCTCTGAAAGTTTGAGTTAAGAATTTCTTAATTTGCAAAACTATACAGAAAAAGATGTTTAAAGTCTACCAAAGTTTTTTATATTAGCAATAAAAAAGAAAACCTTACATAAACTGTAAGCTTAAAATGAATATGATGAAACAGACCACATGAAGAAAATTTTAAGACTGTAGAGACATGTGTGTGTGTATACACCTACAATACTCACACATACGTATACTGCACCACAAACCATCAGTCCCCGTTAAGCCCAAGGACTATGAAAGAGAAATTTCCAAAGTGAGCTGCTGAGAAAGAAAAAACACTGTGAGGGAGAGAACATGTTAAATTTTTCTCCCGAATTTTCTAGCATTTTGCAGTGAAGGGATGGACTGATCGTTCCAGCCCAAGTCACAACTAAACAGCATTATATTCTGATGCACTATATATTCAGTAAGCACACTCAGCGAAACTAGTTTGATTTCTAATAACGTTGTTATAATTCTCTCTCCTACAAGCATCTCAGAAAACAGAGCCACCTTCTAACCAATGCTGAACCGACCAACAATGCTGTAGATAACAAATACATAAGAACCATTGCATACTATCAGATTTCACTGTACGCAGTCTGATCAATGCTCTGAAACATAAACGTAACGTGCTTTGCAGTAGATTTGACTTGCATAAAAGACACCAGGGCAACGGGGGTCCGTTTTACCCACCACTTCTACAAAATGTGTGTAAAATCAAAGATTTATAAAAGATTTTACTCCGAAGAGACACCTAGGTCTTCTTCCGAAGCCCAGACTAACAGCTCCCGGCAAGAACACACTACTCGGCCACATATATTGTACAGCATCGATACCCAGACACCTGAAACCATCTGAACTGAGTTAGGCTGTCAGCTCCAAGGTGTTGCTAGCGTGCAAGCAACACTGAAGCAGCTAAGCCCTCCTAGGTACACTAGGTGGTAACCTTGGCACCAAGTGCCTCAGTAGTACAAAACCTCTCTCCCTATTAGAAAATGCGTAAGACTGTTCCAAAGAATATGCTACAATCGTGAGAACCTTCTCCACAAAGGGGAGCAGCTGAAAAGGCTGGTTTTTTCTGTTTGTTTTTGTTTTTTTTTTCTCTCCGGTCAGAAACTCTCGGTAGGAGACGGGGCTACAAATCTAAGAAACCCAGCTTCTGGTTGCAATACTATGACAGCTTGCAGAGCAGCCCCGCCAAACCAGAGCTCAGTTTTCCTATCAGCAAAATGGGACTCACCACCGCCACCCCTCCCCCTCGCCAGGGAGTCCGGCGCACCCTGGAAGTCTAAGATTACCCAGGGCGATAAGCGATGAGGAGTGGCCGCCGCTCCCAGGACGCCCACCCCGACTTCCCCCACAAACCCCGAGACAGAAAGGCAGGGCCGGCGTACCTGGCTTCACAGTCTTGAGACGGATGGGCTCTCGGAAGTGGCGGATGACAGCCAGGGTGTCCCGGTTGGTGAGCCCGCTGACAGGCGTCCCGTTCACCTCCAGCAGCACATCCCCAGGGCTGGGCGCCTTGCCCGAGACGACGCAGCAGGTGCCCCCGCCGGGCTCCTCCCGGAGCCGCCCCAGGTAAGGGAACTCGCCGCGCTCCGCGCCGCCCCGGATCTCGGCGCCCAAGTCGCCCGGGGGCCCGGCCCAGGACACCGCGCACTCCTGCACCTTGCTGAGCCAGTGCTTCTTCTTCTTCAGCGTCTTCGACATCCCGAACCCCGCTGCACCATGGGGGAGACCCCGCGCGGGCGGCGGGGGCGCCGCTCCGGCCCCCTCTCAGCCTGGGGGCCCGGCGGCCCGTGCAGCCCAGCGAGGGGGCCTCGATGCTCCGGCGCCCCCACCCCCGACCGCAGCCCGCTGGGGCCGGGCTGCTCCAAGCCCCGAGACGCCCCTCGGACGCCCCTCCCGGCTGCGCTCCCCGGGGCTGCCGGGCTCCGCGAGGACCACCCCGGGCTAGGCTGAAGAAAGGAGAGGGGAACTGTCCCCGGGCAGCTCCTTTCGGGCGGGGTCACGGCCGCCGGCTGGCCCCCGGGCTCCTCGCCGGAGCGGCGGGAAAGACAGAAGCAGGGGGGCGGGGAGGTGAACAGGGAAGAGCCGGAACGGGAAAAATCCGTCGGGGACGCGCAGAAGCGCGCGAAGACCCGTCGCAGGATCGATCGCGGCTGCTGCGGAGCTGGAGCGCGGAGACCAACGCCTGCCCAAGCTGCCAGGAAACTGCCGCTTTCAAACCCGCCGCAACCTCCTCCGCCTCCCTCTTCCCTTCCCCCCCGCCCTCGCCCATCCCTCATCCAGAGCCCCGCCCCCTCCTGCCGCGCGGCGCCCGGCGCGCTGCCGTCACAGGCCAGGCGCTTGGGAACGAGCCCCAGCACTCGTCTCCCTCGCCGGGGATTGGCCCCCAGCGGGTAGGGGGCGGATCCTCGGCGAGAGTGAGGACCACCTATTGGTCGGTGGGAGTGGAGAAGGCGGGCACTAGGATGAGTGAAGTTTAAAGAGGGTGGAAAAAAGAAGTTTGAAGAGTGAGCGAGGCCAAAGGGAGGGGCAGGGGAATGGAACCGGCCACACATCGCAGGGCCGAGAGAGGCCCTCCTTACCGCGGCTGGAGCCAAGCGAAAACTCGGACACGGAAGAGCGGAGAGAACTCCGAGGTGGAGGCGTGGCTGGAGAGCCGGGCGGAGCAGGGGGTGGAGCCCCGGAGCCTGCACGGGGCGCTTCCAGGAGAGGGTGTACTTTGGAGGGGAGACGACGAGCCGAGTCTACTGCCCGAGGTGGCGGGCTCTCCAGGATGGCCTGTCACAACCGATCAATTGATGTTTCTTGTTCGTTCACTCACACATTCAGCAAATGTTATTGGACGCCCATGATGGAAGGTAAGATAGAGTCCTGCACACTGCTGTGCGACCTGGGGCAAATTAGACAACCTCTCTGAGCCGCTGCATCTTGGGCTGAAAAGTGGAGATAATTATACCCCTCCAAGCAGTTGTGAAGATTTCATGAGGTACATATAAAATATCTGCGCAGTACCTCACAGAAGGTGGGTGCTTACCTTTTGGTAGCTGGTGATGTTAACGATGACTTTATGTCAGAAATTGTGCTAGGTACTGGGTTTCAAAGATGAAGAAAACAGCCGTCAAGGAGGTCAGAGTCTAGTGGGAGAGACTGACAAGTTCACAGACTGCCTGAGATGAGGTAGGGTGATGTGGAGGTAGAAGGTAGGATTAGAACTAGCCCAGGAACCAGCAGACCTGCATGCTACTTACTTGCTGTTTGACCTTGGCCAAATCTCAGCTTCAAGTTTATTCATCTGTGAAAGAGGTGGAGGGAGGACTAACATTGAATAAAGAACATCTTAGGTCCCTTCCAGCACTACTTTTTCAAAAACTCTTGAGCATTCTGTCTTCCCTCACTTGACTCACACTCTCCCAGTCTTTTTGGCTTTTAAAAATCTTATCCATTCTCAGTCCAAATGCCATCTCTTCCAGGTAGCCTTTGATTTCTTGTCCTCCAAGTAGAAACTTTTCTTGAGCTATGATACTTTGTCTTACTTTTTCAGAGTGACTCCTAATTATATAGTCTCCTGTCTCCCTTTAATGGTTGAGGAAAGCCCTTATTTACACTATGAATAACTCCACGGCATCTCATCATGTATAAGATAGAGGGGACCAAGTTTCAACCACTGCAGTGATTTTGTTCACACCATTGTATCAGTCAGAGCCTAGCAGGAAACAAATGGTACTTTGCAAAGATGTGGGCAGGCTGTGGGAAACCACAAGGGTAGTGTGGAACCCTAGGGCTACAAGCTCCTAGGTCTGTAGAAGGGGAGGGAACCAAAATTCAGCACCAGAAAGGCAGCCGGACAGGAGCCTGTGAACTTCAGTCAAGGGATGCAGTCAGCCTAAGTAATTGTCCAAGGAGAAAGCTGGGGGATTTATATCTCACTCACCCCCCTCTTCCAGTCTCCTGCTGGTACATCCCGGTGGCCAAATCCAACCAGAAGCCAGAGGGCAAGAGAACCCTTTGCTGCAGTCCATCTCAGTCAGTCACACAGAGAAGAGGAAACCCTGCATCTGGAGAGAAAAGGGGGAAATATCCAGCACAGACATGTGGATTGCTCCGATTTACCCAGATCTGAGGCAAAGCTGGAATATTTTTTTCTGAAGTATTACCTACACTAACAGATTCCTGGATGAGATCTTGATAACCTCCACATCATCTGCTTTCACAGCACCTCTGAGAAATGTCTTTTCCTGCCCAGATTGTATCCATTAGGATACTTTTGGCCACAAGGAACAAAATATGTAATAGCTTAAAGTATAAGGTCATTTATTCTATCTTTAACACAAGGTTCAGATGTTAAGTAGTCCCAGGGTTAGTTCAGCACCACAATCATGTCACTAAGGACCCAAGTTCTTTTTGTGCCTGCTCTCTACCATCATATGCATGTTGGCTTCTATCTCCAGGATTATCACCTCTTGATTGCAATGTGGCTGCCACAGCTCCAGATAGGACATCCTCAGAGGTCACTGTACAAGCAGGAAGGGAAGGAAAGGCAGTGCTGCTCCCATTTTTATGAAGGAGAATAACCTTTCCCAGACAGTAACCCCCACCCCAACCAGTAGAATCTCCCTTATTGGCCAGAAAACGGTCACATGCCCACTGCAGCCCAGTGGCAAAAAGAAAATGAGATTGCCACAGTTCATTAAATTGATCATGAGTCACCCCAAACAAAATAGGGGTTCTGTTTGAGAGGAGAAAGAATAGGTGTCAAGTAGGTACCCAATAGTGTGTGCCACATGCCTCAACCAAGAAGTTATCTTGACTCTTGGGCAGAAAACTGCAGTGATTAGGATCTTGAGCTCTGGAGTCAGACTGCAAATCCCAGTTTTTCTACTACTAGCTTTGTAATCTTGAGAAAACTACTTAACCTTACCTAAACTCCATTTCCTCATCCATGAAAGGGGCATAATAACAATCTTAGCTAGGTTGTTGTGCAAACTGAATGGAGCTATTTGAGTCAAGAAAGCACTTAACATATGGTCTAGCATAAAAGCAAACATTCAATAAATTAGTTTGTGCTAGTTATATTTATGACAAGGCAAAAAACATTGTTCATCACCTTTGTAACTCTCTAAGTATTAAATTCACCCATCTTAGTAAGCCTAGGTTCCATTTTTTAAAAATTCTAGAAATAAGCTGCCGATGCCAGTGAATTAATTCTGGTAGGATATTATTCTGGAAATTACTGCATAATTAAAAGAGTCACATTACGAGTGTCTATCTGTAAAATGGTACCTAAGCAAATAATCAAATTGTATCTATGTTTATCACTGCTTCCTAGACTTAATAGTTGGATAAAAATAGTTATGATTTCCACTGGGGAGTATTAATAACTCAAACAATATGGAAACTGGTTTAACAAAAAGAAGGGATACTGTTGAATTTGATGATCTCCAAGGTTTCTTTGAGCTACTTCTAACCATCCATAAGTTAAACATAGATATGTTTCAAGATGCTGCATACCACAGGAGTTAGGTCCCAAGATGGCTGTAGAGATGCCAACACAAGTATCATAATGTCTAAAGGCAGAAAGGGGGGAAGTGGTTGTCTCCTTTCCCCATTTCTTTTTCAGAAATCAAGGAAACCTCTCCACAAAGGCTCCAGGCAAGTCTCTCCCTCCAGCTTATTGGGCAGAACTTTCCCAAATGCCCTTTCCTACACCGAAGGTACAAAGAGTGATGAAATACCCTTACCCATTTTCACCCTCTGGTGCTCAAAAGGAGATCCAGTGTCTTATAAACTGCACGGCTGCACAATATCTGAACTTGGGGGGGGGGGGTCTCTTCTCAAATATGAAGAAGGAAAGACTGGGCTTTTAGGTAAGCAATCCACAGTGTCCTCCACAAAGAGACTGCATTGATTTGCTTCTAGTATATATTTCTTCTGACAAGGTGGGGAATTGGTTTTGTCTTATGATATTGTGCAGAGTGCTCCTAATGAGAGTTAAATAAACCCTTCTACTTCGAAAACTTCAGAATGGCAGGTATAAATTGCCAATTTTTCTGAAATGACCCATGCTCGCTTACTCCTCTGTACAATCAGAGGTGCCTTGTATGGTGGTACGGTTTGTGTGCTGACAGCTCTGGGGCCATCACTCACATCGGCGTCCGTGTGGATCATGCCCCTGGAGTCGTGCATGGCTTGGTGCCAAAGCAAGGCACGTGTAGGGAGAAGTGTTCAATTTTATTTATTTCTATACTCTCAATTGTTTCTTTTATAAAAACTTGAATCTCTAGTAATAGTAAATCAAATCATTATTGAGATGAAGTCATTCTCAAGTATTGGTGGTGGCAGAGGGTGGGGGAGAAGTAGAGTATACAGATAAAACAAATATTTGCCTTCCCTGCAGAATAGAACAACATTCATCCTGTTTTTCTTCCCACAGATTATATAATAAAATTATCTTGAATTTTAAAAATTCTGGTCACCGAAATCTTTCATGTTTGGACAAAAATGTCCATATTTACTGGTATTATGGAAATGATATATTAATAACCTAACCAAATTCAGTATTAATGTTCTATTCTATCTTTACATTTTATTAGCATTTTTATTTGCCTAGGTCTATGGGCTAATTTGTATGCTAATGCTAAAATATGCTCAATTACAAAAGCAGTTACATGGAAGATTTTACTTCCGTGAAACAAACTAATTTATTGTCTAAAATCTGTACTACTATGTCTCATACATAAACGTGCATTTTTGGCCACGGGCACACTTACCTGCAAATGACCAAATGAATCCAGCCCAAATTCACAGAACAATAGAAACATTCAAAACCAAGTGCAGTGCCAACATGCTTTGAAAGGGGGGTTAGTTAAGCAGTCAGATGTCAAGTTCATCTAACAAGGCAGGACAAAGAGAACATTGAATGAAATAGAAAATACCAAAATACCTATCTTTCAACTTTCAGCTTAAATACAATCTCCTACTCAAGGCCAGCCTTTATTTCCTGTAGCTAGATGTCAGTTCTTCCTTCTCCAGAACTACCAGCATGTTACCTCTATGTGTTTTGTTTTCCAACAGACCTCAAGATCCTTGAGAGCAGTGTCAATCTCGGATTCATTTGTGCATCCCCCATTGGTCTGGGTACTTTGTCTTTAGTAGAGTTATACACATTCATTCAAAAAACAGAGAGTACCCATTATAAACAGGCATTGTTTTAGGTGTTGGTTTACGGCAATGAACAGACTTACAAGGTCCCTCGTTTCATGGGGAAGAAGACAGTGCAGGGGAAGAAGAAGTTTTCCTCCACCCTGTTAGGGTCCCTGGCTGGGTCTGAAAATTCAACTGACAAAGACACATTAACAGGAGAAAAGCACACAACTTTATTTAATATAAGTTTTATGTGACACAGGAGCCTTCATAAAGGAAATAAAGACCAGAAGAAATTATTAAACCTGAGTGGTTTTTGATGAAGAGTTGAAAGTCATGGAAAGATGTGATAGGGCAAAGAATATGAGCTGAGAGTAGTAAACCCAGGAAACTCAGCAAATTCTGTTCGCTCAGATTCTTGTTGATATCTCTCCATCTTGGATATCTGGATGCTCCTTTTTACTCCAGGTATGGAGAGGGCACCTCTCCTATGAGGGTCTTATGATCTGCTTCAGAGAAGAAGGGCAGGGAGAAGGTCAGACAGACTGCTTCTCCTATTTTCTCAAACTGCTTCAGTTTAAAATATTCAATACGCCAGGCTGCCATATTTTAGGGTATCACATCCTGAACTCCATCAACAGCAAGCCCAAAGCAAGTAAATGATCAAGAAAATTTCCAGTAGTAATAGTACTGTAATTAAAATAGATGAAACAGAATGAAATGATGGGTATTTAGGAGAAGACACAGGTTACATCAGATGGAAATCATGGAGCAGATCTGCTTGCGAAGGTGACAGTTTTGCTGAGACATGAATGACAAGGAAGAGGGAGCCAAGTGAAGCCTGGAGACCTGAACACTCCAGGCCAACAAAGAGACCTCAGACACTGTGAAATTTTTAGGAGAGGAGTGGTAGAATCTGATTGACATTTTAGACTGATAGTTCTGATGGCTCCATGGAGAAGGAAGAGGGTGACAGTGGAATCAGGGAAGCCAGATAAAAACCTGGAACAGGAACCCACTGAGAAAGCTCAGTGCCATGGACCAGGGTAGAAACAAAATGAAAATTTATCAAGTGCACTGTGGAAATCAGAAATTATAGTTTTAATTTCTGAGACTGATCACAGTTAAAGAAATATGTTACAGTTGTATTTAATGAGAAGCTTTGTGAAATGTAACTGCTTTGTTGAAATGTCCCTTCCCAGTAAGAGGAACTTAGAAAATAAAAAGTGGGGAAAATATTTAATTAAGTTTAAATTTATACAGGTTCTTTCTTTTGCTGTGTTTATTGAGTAGCACGCCTGGAGAGACGAAACGCTACGTTCAAGGTTTTTCTTTAATCTTTTAAGAAAGTAACATCTACTTGAAGTATACAGTGACCTTAAAGTTTGTGAAACAACATACTGTTCTTTTAATCTACAGGATGTGTTGTTTTAAGAAGTAGAATTTGTTTCCAGACTTATAAAGGAACTCACAAACTTTGTTTTTAAAGAGCTTCACTACCATACAAAATCTTTAGTTTTGTTGACTAGTTGGAAAACTTCAGGCCCTTGAGTCTTTTCACTGCAGATTAGATGTAAATAAACAGTGCCTTTCATGAATTCTAATACAAAGCATGATGTGAAGCTCCCTTTCTTCAACAGAAGGAAAATTCTCATTTATTTGGCTAAACTTAGGTGAAGTGTTTCCAAACGCACACTCCCAAATTTCACAGTAAAAATGATTGGAAACACACCACATGAGCTTAAAATAAAACACACCCCATTCAAAGTCCGGGTACTGTGTGCCTTTCTTAACATTTAACAAGAGTATCTAAAGTCTATATTTTGCATTCAAAAATGGAGTGTGACCTTGTTGGATTTGGAGTGAAGGAGAAGAGGAGCTGAATTTTGTTCCAGAAGCAGGGCAACATTCTAGATAAAGTGGGTTCTGAGGAGGTGCTTCTGTGCTTTAGAACCTAATCTTGGCACATTTAAATATATAATAACTGTTTGCTAAGAGTTGATCCTAGAAGTTTTCATCACAAGAAAAAGAAAATTGTAACTATGTGTGGTGCTGGATGTTAGCTAGACTTATTGCGGTGATCATTTTGCAATACATACGCATATCAAATTATTATGTTGTACACCTGAAACTGTTGTATGACAATTACATCTCAAGTAAATCAATGTAAACAAATACTGTCTGTTCACAGTTTGATAGGCATAAATAGGAAAAACAGAGTAACTGATTATATCAATAGCAAACCTTCGGAACCATTAAGACGATCATTACATGGTTAATTTTCAAGGCATTCTTTTCAACTGTGGAGTGTTTGAGAATGTTGAGATTAAAAAATTTCAAATTGCAAGCTACTATGGACTGAATTGTATCTGCCCCAAATTTGTATGTTGAAGCCCTAACCCCCCAGTGTGACTGTATTTGGAGACAGGACCTATAAGGAGGGAATTGAGCTTAAATAAGGTCACAAGTGTGGGGCCCTACTTCAGTAGGATTAATGGCCTCTTCAGAAGAGCGATCTCTCCTCTGCTTCCCCACAGCAAGGAGGAGGCAGGCTGAAAGTCAGGAAGAGAGAAGAGAGTTCTCACCGGAAACCAACCATGCTGACACCCTGCTCTCCGACTTCCAGTCCCTAGAACTATGAGAAAATTAATTTATTTTGTTTAAGTCACCAATCTATGGTATTTTGTTATGGCAGCAGAGCTGGCTTAGACATATGCAATCACAGTGATCCTTTAAAAAAAAAAATAAGGGGCGCCTAGGTAGCTCAGTCCTTAAGCGTCTGCCTTTGGCTCAGGTCATGATCCCAGGGTCCTGGGATCCAGCCCCACGTCCAGCTCCCTGCTCAGCGGGGAGCCTGCTTCTCCCTCTCCCTCTCCCCCTGCTTGTGTTCCCTCTCTCTGTCAAATAAATAAATAAAATCTTTTAAAAAAATAAACAAGATGTTACTCCTTGCTCAATACCAATTGTATCCCCATTTTACTCAGAGTAAAAAAAAAAAAAAAAAAGCCATTGTTCCTACAATGACCAACAGAACCACCATCATCCAGTTACTTCTCTGATCTCTTTTCCTACTGCCCCCTACCGACCCACTTGTCTCCACTCCAACTATGCTGGCCTTGCAAATCTTTCAACATGCTGGACATGCTCTCACCTCAGCTCTCCCCCTGCCTAGAGTGCCCTTCCACCAGATACCTGTGTGGCTCATTCTCTCGCCTCCATTTGGCATTGGCTCAAATGTCACTTCTCAGTGTGCTCTACTTTACCTTCCTATCTAAAAATGAACATCCTCTTAACTCTTAGAACTCCTCACTCTGCTCTATCTTTTCTTTCCTTTGTCCACAGCACTTACCACTTTGTTATAAACATAATAATTATATATTATTTTTTCTCTGTTTTGACCTTTGAATGTAAGTTCCAGGAAAACAGAAATCTTTGTTTTGTTCACTAATTTATCCCGGGTGCCTAGAATAGCACCTAGCTTATAGTAGGATCTCAATAAGTACTTGTCTGCTCGAGTACTTATATATTAAATATACTAGATCACTTAATCTTCATAATAATTTTAAAACAGCAATTCAATTTTTGTAATAATCTGTGAGGCAGCTATCATCATATTCCCATATACTAGTGAGTCAGAAAGGTTATTCTGGGCACCCCCACGTTTCTCCACATTAAGTGTGAGTCAAAACTTGAACTCAGATATTTTTATTCCATATCTAGCCTCTTTCCTTTGCCATGGTGGTCATTCTAAGACATTTTCACAGTGGAACAAAATGTCAAAATACTCAAATTAAGAAATCATGGTCTATTACAATTGCATCAGAATGATTAAAATGAAAAAGACTGACCCTATTAAGTGTTGGGGAAAAAAAAAAAAACGTAGACATGTGGACATTCTCATACACTCCAGTGAGAATGTAAATTGGTTCAACCACTTTGGGAAATTGGCCGTTTCTACTAAAGTTAGCAAATGTATGTGCTAGGATCCAACAGTTCTACTCCTGGATACATACCCAACAGAAATGAATACTTATGTCCTCCAAATGATCTATACAAGAATTATTCATAATAGCCCCCAAACTGGAAACAACCCAAATGTCCATTAAGATTAGAATAGCTACATAAATCTCGGTACAGTCTTAGAATGCTAGACAACACTATAAGGATAAAACTCACCTGCACACAGCAAAATGGACGAATGTCGCAGCCATAATTTTAAGCAAAAGAAGCCAGACACAAAATTACATACTATCAGATTCCATTGATAAGAATTTCAAGAATAGGTCAAACTAATACATGGTGATAAAACTCAGAATTATGATTACCTTTGAGAGAGTACTGACTGAAGTGAGCACAGAAGACCTTCTGAGGCCCTGGCAATGTTCTACATCTTAATATGGGTAGTCCTTTAAAGACTTATCAACATATGTAGAAATCAATCTAGCTGTATACTTAAGATTATACACCTTACCATATAAGTTACCTACCAATAAACAAGTTTTTTGTTTGTTTGTTTTGTTTTTTTTAAAGATTTTATTTATTTATTTGACAGAGAGAGACACAGCGAGAGAGGCAACACAAGCAGGGAGAGTGAGAGAGGGAGAAGCAGGCTTCCCACTGAGCAGGGAGCCCGATGCGGGGCTCGATCCCAGGACTCCGGGATCATGACCTGAGCCGAAGGCAGACGCTTAACGACTGAGCCACCCAGGCGCCCCAATAAACAAGTTTTTTTTAAAAATGAGGAAATAATGGATTGTTCAATAAATAGTTACAGAACAAATGACTGGACATCTGAAAAAAATAAATGTTGATCCTTGATCCCTGCCATATTCCTTACCTGAAAATAAATTTCAGATGATCAGATATTTAAGTATAAAAATATCCAGCTAGTATTAGAATAAAAGATGTTAAAATTGTTTTATAGTATTGGAGGAAGAAGGCTTTTCTTATCAAGATACAAACAGTAATCTTGAAGAAACATTCTTAGATTTGACTACAAAAGACTTCGAATGACAGAACATGACAACACAATTACAACAGACAAAGTTTAAAAGAAAATTACAGTCTTGGAACAATATTTGTTGACAAAAGCAAATTTCCTTCTTATACAAAATTCTTATAAATTAGTAAGTAAGCAAAACAAAAAAAAAAATAATCCAGTGGAAAGACAGGCTAAGTTATAGGAGAAAAAGCCCGTCTTCAAACATATGAAAAAACATTAACTTAATTTTTAAATAACAATAAAATTCCATTTTTCATACAACAGATTGCCAAGGATCAAAAAGCTTGATAATATATTATGTTGTTGAGACAGGACTATATATTGGTACACTTCTTTGGTGAGTAATATGCCCGCATCAAAATTTTAAAATTTTCAATGCAGTTCTACTAGGAATTTCCAAAGACTTATGTACTAGCAAGTATTTTGCAGATTGTATGTAGTAGAAAATATCTACAACAGAGACTGGTTAAGTGAATTGTGATGTATACATTCAACAGAATACTGTGCAGAATGAGGTAGAGCTTCGTATGCTGATGTGGGAAGATCCTTAAGATAGATTTTTTAAAGTACAGAAGTGTTTGCTCCTATTTGAATTTAAAAAGGAGGTATGGTGGATATTTGCATACACATATATATGCCTGTGTCCTCTGGAGCATCTTGGAGAAATTAATGGCTGTGTTTGTCCCTGGGCAGTGTGACTAGGAGACTGAAAGGGAAAAATGCTTTTTGCTAAATACTCTTTTGCACCATGAATTATTTTTACCAAGTACAATTGATCCTCAAACAACACAGGTTTGAACTGTGCGGATCCATTTATATGCAGATTTTTTTGGATAAATACAGTACACGCTATAAATGTATTTTCTCTTATGATTTTCTTCAAGTTTTTAATTCCAGTTAGTTAACACCGTGTAATATTAGTTTCAGGTGTGCAATATAGTGATTCAACACTTCCATACAATACCTGGTGCTCATCATAACAAGTGCACATCATAACAAGTGCACCCCTTAATCCCCCTCACCCATTTCACCCATCCCTCTGCCCCCTCCCCTCTGGTAACCATCAGTTTGTTCTCTACATTTTAGAGTCTACTTCTTGGTTTGCCTCTCTCTTTTTTTCCCCTATTATAATTTGTTTGGTTTCTTAAATTCCACATAGGAGTGAAATCATATGGTATTTGTCTTCCTCTGACTGCCTTATTTTGCTTAGCATAATACACTCTAGCTCCAACCAGGTCATTGCAAATGGCAAGATTTCATTTTTTTCTAGGGCTGAGTAATATTCCATTGTATATATATACACAGATATCTTCTTTATCCATTCATCAGTCAATGGACACATGGGCTGTTTCCATATTTGGCCATTGTAGATAATGTTGCTATAAACATTGGGGTGCATGTATCCCTCTGAATTAGTATTTTTGTATTCTTTGGGTATGATTTTCTTAACATTTTTTTCTCTTACTTTTAATAATACAATATATAACGCATACAATATACAGAATGTGTTAAACAGCTGTTATTGGTCAAGGCTTCCAGTCAAGAGTAGGCTATTAGTAGTTAAGTTTGGGGGGAGTCAAAAGTTATATACAGATTTTCGACTGCACAGGGTTTGAGTTGTTCAAGGATTGGCTGTACATGTATTACTTGAAAAAAAGACAAAAGTAAAAATACTATGTTCAAGTAAAAGTAGGAAGAGGAGCAAAAAGAAGGACTGTGGGGAGGAGAAGTGGAAGGAGGAAGAGAAGAAAGAAAAATAATCAAGACCTGCCCTTCTGCATGGCCCACATGGCCTAGCCCATGTCTTACACAGAGTATGCTGGATAAATAAAACTCCCCAATCCAGTCTGCCAGTCTGGAATCCCATCTGAGCACCAGTTCAGTATTTTCAGCTCAGGTTAATCTTTTAAAACCAAACTACTTAGGGCATGAGATACTTGGCCTAGGGAATTTTCTGGTTCTTGAAGGTAGCCTATGCCGATAAGAAATGAAAACTTACCTAATGCTTACTATCTTTAGAGGAGATGATGGGTGAATCAACATTTTGTGAAAACACACACGTGTGTATATATACCCTTTATATATATAAAACACTAACATATTACTTATCCGAAGCTAAGGATGGACGGGTTAGAAGTCACTCGGACCGTTCAACAGTTCTGTATAGATGCCAGTTTTGTAGTTGAATGATTTTAGATAAAAAATAGTTTTGCTTTCTGTTGAATTGTATTTTTTTTTTTTATTCACTTATTTGACAGAAAGAGACACAGCAAGAGAAGGAACACAAGCAGGGGGAGTGGGAGAGGGAGAAGCAGGCTTCCCGCGGAGCAGGGAGCCCGATGCGAGGCTCGATCCCAGGACCCTGGGATCATGACCTGAGCCGAAGGCAGCCGCTTAACCGACTGAGCCACCCAGGTGCCCCTGTTGAATAGTATTTTAACTAAAAGCTGATGTTTTAAAAAAACAAATTACTACAACAAAACCTATTGGCAGAAATTTCATCAACATTAGTTTTTGGAGAGACTTGGGGTTCAGCTAATTTTCTAGACTTGGGGTGTTTGTTCTACAGAAAGTGTTCTAGCCCATGTTCATCTTGATCTAGGAGGTTATATGTGTACCAAATGGAAGTTATTTTAAAGTGAAATTTTAAGATGGTTTTACAGAATATTGATAGAGCAACAGCCAAGGTAAACAGGTGGTAAAACTTGAGAAATTCTCAAGAATTCAGTTTTGAATATATTAGGTCAAAACTGAATTCTTGAGAATTTCTCAGACAGAAAGACAAATACTATATGATCTCACTTATATATGGAATCTAAAAAAAACTAAACGCGTAGAAACAGAAGAGATTGGTGGTTGCCAGAAGCAGGGGCAGGGAGAGGGGGAAATGAGTG